CTGTGAGTGTGTGTGTGTGTGTGTATGTGTGTGTATGTGTGCGTGTGTGTGTGTATTAATCAGGGATATTCAGCTCTGGCGGTGCTGCTTGCGATGCCTGATGACGGCAAGTTGGTTGCTTGTGATCTTGACCCCAAAGCGATGAGTGTTGCGGAACGCTACTTTGAGGCGGCTGGCGTTTTGGATAAGGTGAGGTGAGATGCACTTTTGCTGTATGGACTTCCGTGTCTAGAGTTCTGGTCAAACTTCTCTTTTTTTTTTTTTTTTTTAAACAGGGCCTTATGGTCCTGGCTCCTATTCTGGGGAGCGTCAGTCCGGTTCCTGCTCCACCGGCAAGTCAAAATATACATTATATTGAAACTCACACACGCTTCCTTCTGTTGCGCCGAAGGACTCCTGAACAGCATTGATTGCTCCACCTCGGTGGAGGATTGACTGTCAGCTTGCCAAGTCTCTCTCTTTCCTCCCAGACCTGGAGACCAGATCTGCCAGATAGTGCTATGCCTCCTAGAAAGAGCTCATCCGTTCTCTGCTGACCTGTATCCTACCCGCTCAGCTGACCTGCCTGTGCGGTGTAATATCCCTGTCCCATTTTGTCTGCCCCCCTCCCATTTTATTCTTCACTAAAACCCTAAACCCTCAACCCTCAGCCTGTGTACCCATACTCTAACATTCCTTTGAGTCGACCTTGCTCCAATGTCTCATGTTTCCAGGATCCGTTTCTTGGACCAGGACTCCTTGCGCGTTGTTGAAATCCTTGCTTATTTCTGTGTTGTACCAATCCCTCCTGTTCACTCGGACTTGTCCAGCCCTGCCTCCTTGCCATTTTGTGACCCTTCCGTATCAGGTCTCTTCTTGCTATGCCGTCTCTGTGTCCTCAGCCCGTAATTCTGCATTGAGTTCTCGCTCCTGTATTGCTCCTCCTCTTCCAATTTCATGAGCCTATCTTGGGCTGTTCTGGTCAAACTTCTAGTCTATAACCTCCACTGAAAAAGATCTCTTCCCTACAGTGTGACTCTTATGATATCTCGCCAGTTGAACCTATCGTCGTCATATCCCTGTTCCCACTTTATGAATCAAAGTTGTGGTTAGAGGTTATTGTCAAGTCTCTGGTGAAATCTCTGGTGAAATCTCTGGTTAAATCTCTGGTTAAATCTCTGGTGAAATGTCTGGTGGAATCTCTGGTGAAACTCTGGTTAATCTCTGGTGAAATCTCTGGTCAGTACCCAGATATCAAAGGGTATCTCGTACAGGTACGCTTGGGCACAGAGATCTGTTCAGTCAACCAAATATGGCTGAAATTCAAACGAACCCGCCGAACTCTGCATCTGACCGGAGCAAGTGTGCAAGAATTGCCGTGTCCGTGTGTTGTTGTGTGTGGTGTGTGTTGAGTTGGACACTACAGCGTTGCAGGGGCGGGTTGGATATCATGACCCGAATGGTTCCATTCGTGTCCTGGCTGTAGTGGTTAAGATACTTGGTTCTTGAGGCCGAGGTCGCCGGTTCAAATCATTGCTTGCACAGAGGACTTAGGGCTCAGATTTGCGGATCCATAGCCGCTGTGGAAGCACCCGTTAAGCAGCGCGTGATATGTTACCATGTGGTGGGCGGGAAGGGAGTACCTTGTGTGTATGTTGAGTTGGGCACAGCACAGTCTTGCAGGGGCGGGGTGGATATCATTGCCACTATGGTTGGACACCACAGCCTTGAGGGGTGGGTATGGTTCACTTTTGGACACCGTGTCCTGGCTGTAGTGGTTTAGATACCTGGCTGTCGAGGCCGAGGTCGCCGGTTCAAATCCGTGCTTGCGCGGAGGACTTAAGGCTCAGTTGTGCGGATGGGCGTTTTTTTTTCTTTTCTTCGAAAAGAAATATCTGGTCTTTGGTCAAGTGCAATCTCATTTCCAAGTCAAATCTTTTCAGTGTTAAAATCTCTGGTCGGATCTCTGGTCGGATCTCTGGTCAAGTTGCTGGGCAAAGTCAGAACCCTCGTCAAATCTCTAATTGAAGTCAACTCTCTGGCCAAATCTGTGGGCAAATAAGTGAAGCCCTCGTGCACATCTCAGCTTTAAGCATAGTTGCAGCGCATGTCGGTGCGCCGGTTTGCGCACGGTATGCGCACGTCGCGCCGCGCACCGCACAGCGCACCGAAGTGCAGCGCACTTGAAAAATTAGGTCCAAAAAAAAAAGAAAAAAAGTAGGGGTTTTCTAATTTCTTAGGGCCCCCAACTCGGCAAAAATGTTAAACTCACAGCGCAAGTTCACAAACCGATCGCGCCCACGGCCCGAACTTCTCTTTTGGGTAAGGGCTGCTGAAAATTCGATTTGCGCAGGCCCTTCCCCAAAAAGTTTTGAATGGCGAGGCACAAAATAGGGCTCATTCCAACTTTTGTTTTAGGCGGGGTATGAGAGCTGTCCTTCCCGCTGCCTTCTGCAAATCCCACACAGTAGTGGGGTCAGTTCGCAAGAAGGGGTAGT